TTTTTTTTTTTTTTTTTTTTGAAGACCAAGAATCATTTGTGCTTAAGAAGCGCACTTTAAAAAGCTGTAAGATTTTAACATAGAAAATAGTTGTGTTTGTACTCTTTTGAAGTGGGATTTTTAATTAACTGAATTCTGATAGAACTATAGAGATCTCAAAATGATCTGAATAGGATAGGTTAAGTTTAAGGAGGTTCTCAGAACACAATCAGAGACAAAGACAATATAACTATAAAGTTCAGTAACTGCTGTATTTGCATTAGTAGGTTGTATATTCGCGAGCTGAAGACATGGAAGCATTTCATATCAACATTTAGCCAAATAAATGGTGACAATATTTGGATCTAGTTGTACCCCTGAAAGAAATACATCTTTCATCTTTAGCAAGACTGGGTAAAGCACATAAATCCAAGTTGTGGTAGTAACTGCCAACGCTCCTCTGATTACGTGCTTGGATAAGTACAACAAGCTAAACTGAAGCAGTATTGGAACAGCTAAGACAACAAATCACAACCAGCATCAAGAGGAAGCAACATCCTAGACCAGCAATGCTTCTGTAGTAATACAGAATTCAACAACACTGGTATAAGTGCATTTAAAGCTGTAGTGCTTAAAAGAATATTTAAGTAACAAAGCTAAGTGTGTGTTTAGACTATACATTCCTGGAGAAGTGATAGGCACTAGCCTTGACAAGAGAGTACGTGCACAGTTCCTAAGAAAGATTAAGTAGCTGCATCAAGAATGATCCTTTAAAGAAAATTACTGGGTCTATTCATAAACACAATTCTTTTACAAATGGAATGACTTATGGGTGGCTTCTTATAAGTAACCAAGTTAAACAGCCTTTTTTTCCCTTTTTTATAGAATTTAGGAAACATATTTGTTCATTTCCTAATAGATCAGATTACCTAGGATAAATCACATAAATAACTAAGCTTTAACCAAAAGCTCACAGATGGCCATAAGCAATGTTGAGTATTCAAAACAGAACTCACCACTAGTTTTCTGGAGCATGCCTTGATATCAAGTATGACCTTAGCAGGGGCAACTACCACCTTTTGAAACCTCTCCAAAAAAAGCAAAAAGGGAACTCTAATTAAAATATGTAGCCTGCTACTTGTTTGTATTTTGATTTACTTTATTTTAGAATTTTCTCTACTAATAAGAACACTCATAGCTAGAATTGCATTTTTTTTAATCTATCTTTACTTGTTCAGTCTTCCAAGAAATGGGAATAGTGACATGATTAAGATTAGCATTAAACGCCCCTTAAGTGACATCAAGAAATAATATTTGGCCCACCTCTTTTTCTACCCTAGCTGTGTTTATAAACACACTGGGGGTGATTATTAGTTTTCACATAACATTTAAAAAATACTCGCCCGTTTACCATGACAGTATACAAGATTTTAGTCTGACTATACACACACACACACACACACACACACACACACACA